GCACCACGCGTCAACCCGCAGCTGATCTGTTTTCACCGGTTTGTTTAACACCTATCTGTCAGTCACTTGACAGATCTGTGTGTGTGTGTGTGTGCGTGTGTGTGTGCAAATGGGGTGCACGAGATGGAACAATCACAAATGTGGCGCCAGGAGAATCTGTCACGTGATGTGGTGCTTCATTCAAACGAAGTCACAGTCTGTATGTACTCAGTGGCGTTCAGCAACCAAAATGAGGATTGTGGTTCCACAATGCGTGTTCTCATCACGCAGCATTTGGAAACTGGTGGAGGAAAACTTGAATATTGCATTTATTCAACCCTGGGTGTGTAGTTGAGGTGAATGAGCCACGGGGTGCGATTGAAGAAAAGTCACAGTGAGAAACTATCAGTTTGATGCCCATGTTTTGTCCGTACGATGCAGATGAACTGGCGCAAATAGAATTGGACATATCGACGAGTTGAATTCAGGACGAAGAAAAATAAGAAGAGTATTATGACCCAATTTTTTTCTGCTTTGTATTAGCGCGCCATCACAACTTTTGTTTTTCAATGATTCTCACACATGCGATGTGGTTCGAGTCCTGACACGGGGACACAAACAGTACGCACTGCACTGACGAGTCCCAAACAGGACGAAACGGTTGTTCCGATGCTCTTTTGTCGGTTATCACAAACATTTCGATCGAATTTGAATGCATTCAATTAGTGGGGCATTAACGATCTCCCAAGGAGTGAAACCTACACCCAAGACCATCAAACGTGTTTAGTGCCTGTGAGCAATTGAATGGGCTGATCCCAGCTTGATATACTCTAACTTCTCACAGATGTCCTAACCAATTTCTTCCCACAAGTTTCGGACTGAACGACAAAAATCACTTTGGACTGTACAAAAACACGGATTCCGAAACCATGGATTCACCAATTTTTTTTAATTAATACAATAAAATTACTTTGTGGAATCTCGCGTGTTGAGAACAACAACAGCTTTTTATTTTTTCATTTTACTTCATTTTATTGAATATACGAACATACAATTTTCATGAGGTAGGATGCAGCCAATCAAACGACTGCCATTTAACACACACACACAATGGGGAAAGTCAGGCAGTGGTGATAATTTGGTGACG